ATGATGATGATGATGATGATGGATAGCGAGTCGCTTAGTAAAAAGTCCAACTACTGTTAGATAATGTTATGTTGAGAATAGGTGACAGCAGTATCGCCTTGCAAGTGGGCGGCTTACAGTGACGGCTTCACACTTTAGGATCTTCTGATGCGTGTTTCCGCACTGCAACATCTCCCACTCACGTATTTGCTTTGTGATCACCGTCCAAGGAGGATTTATCGCAATGAAATCAAGGGATTAGTCCCAAATAATGGAAGGATCTTGAGACAGAAGAACTGTTAATAGAGCAGTGCTGCACTATGTGGAGTGGAATTTGGTTAGTAGAAAGGAACCAAGAACAATCCATCAGTTCTTACTCTGTAAGAGGCGGTACATAAAGTTATATAATAACTACGAAGGGGAGAACTGCGAATGCAGAATGCGTATTAAACAAATGGGGTTGAGAAAGATGCGAGAAAAATTAAGGAGCCATCAGATTAAGGTTTCAGGTTCAGTAACAAGGGTTTAATCTATTGTATGTCAAACAAGGACCAGCACAAAGGGTTAAAGTCATCCGTAATCTCAAAATGCTGTCATGGTCAAGTCTTAAGGATGAGGCAGAGATACCTGAAATCTTAAAGCGAGTTTTTAAGAATTATTGGATGCTGAATTGATACAAATGGATGTCCAATTCCTAACCTGAGTGAAGGGTCAGACGACTGGGGTTGGCGGCGACTCAATTGCAAGCCTATTCGCCGCTGCAATTGAATGGCCATAATTGACTGCGAATGAATGGCTAGGTCCTAAGAAACTCTAACCGACAGGATCGCACGGAAGGTGGATCTCCAAACAGAAATAACCATCCTTTTAATGAGGTTCGTTTTTACGACTGGGCGGAAATGAGGCGCAGGTTCCAGGATTATTTACCTTGTAAGGCAAGTTTATAGGGGACCTATTCAGATATGAAGTTTCCTTATTTGCCTAATTTATTTGAATTATTCCCACGTTTGCGAGAGAATTATCCACCGTTCTTGCTACACATACTTTGAGATCGGTTTAACTCAGGTCCCCCACCCGAATGGGACGTCTGAGCCACACACTTTTCGTTGTACTGCCTCATTAGGTCAAAAGCAGGAATCATACACAGAGACGACGTAAACTGTTTACAATTTCTATGTAGTTCCCAAAATCGCTAAAAAAAGGCGAAAAAGCGCGTACTTAAAATGGTGATGAACGTCAGACGTCTAGGTCCAGCAAAACTTCTGCTCAGGATAATTCACAGGTCGGAAATGCACAGAGGTTTTTGGCTAAATTTAAGGCATAAGAACACGAATATTGGGAAACATCTAGGGGAACAAGGATCTTCTATTTACCATGTGGACTATTCGTGCTACCAATGCGAGAATGTCAAGTACCCAATGCATAAATTCTAAAACACCCATAAGATAACTTCGATGTAAAAGAAGTTTAAGATTAACCAATCGCCAACATGAGTGACAAATAAACTCCTTCGCCTAATGGTTCCACTGCGTATCCTCAAAACTCTACCCTTAAGTGTGCGCCGAAAAGTGGCAGCAGGTAGAGGCGCTGAGTCTCGAATTTGGCGAGGCAAATACTACGCCAAAACTACCTGAGGCATTTTAGGCAGGCGAGTAATGTTATAGGCGGCGGTATAGGCAGCGACCTGCAGGGGCGCGTCATAGGCCTTTTCCAGACTTGTCACACGCTTACTCTCGTGCACCGTCTTCCACTCTGTCAGCACCAAGCCGCCGCTCTCTGTCCTATGGTCAGGTAGGCAGAAAGAATAAGCTCGCAATGAAGACACTTTATGATTTAATTTGCAGTGAACAAAATCGCAGCACAACTTGTGAAAATAAAGTCACAAGACGCATTCATACGGTACCGTTGAATGCGTATAAGAAGTGCCGGCTCCAATTGATGGCTGGATTGCGCAAGTTTAATTCTAAACTGATCCAATGTGCACTGAGCGAAAGCATTATTTAGCCTGCATATCCACGTTACCGAAAGACACGTGCACTGAGGTCAAAGCGTTACTGAGCCTGTTTATGATGGATATGATTTGATAAGGGTTCGACAAAACTAGACCACCATGAAGTAGATAAATGTAGTCTAGTCTGTAAAAAAAACTTCCGCGATGAATTTCTTCGATTGTCAAGTCGCGTTTTTATACATGAATTCGGGTTGTTTTGCCGGGTAAATAGCCTAGGAACTCCACGCCTATCAAAATCGGTTCGGAAACAAACATCACTTAAAGGAAAATGTTTGCAGTCGTTTAAGCTTAAAGACAAGTACTTAGATATTACTAGAGCTGGTTGAAGATTAATTAGCCTTTCACCTGGCCGAATTAAAAGTGCGTTCACCAACGTGAATGCAAGTACCGTTCCACAGCCGTTAAACTCTTACTTACTCACTTGAAGCTATTTATACTGTCAATTCGGCCTCTATAGCGTAGGATCGGGTGACAGCATTCCTGCTCCACGAAGTGAGTAGTTTTAACATGAGTGAAGATAGATTCCAGACTGCGTATATATCCATCAATCGGTTCCCCAAATTCATCGACCAGCTTCTCCTTTAGGAGAATATCACAAATTGCCTGGTGCACGTCCTTCCCGATCCCCTTTATACCTTCAATAATAGATAAAGAAAAACAGAATAAGTCGAGAACTAGTCACGAAAGAAAAAAACAAACGACTTTAATGAAAGCTTAGTAAATCATACACTGAGGAGGAAAGATACATGCAAATCGATAAATTTAGGAGGGCCATGAAGGCAAATGTGATCTTTGATACGGATATAGGAAAAGATTTGCAAAGGGACAAATAAATTTGCCACTTACGGGTGACATATTCGTTAAACTTTTGGTCGCCCATTTGCTTTCGCATCTTTTCCTGCCACTTGCAAAGAATCATTACGTTTTCCACGGGCATAGTCCTGCTTATTATAGTCGAGACCGTGGGGAATTTACGTGAGATGGATTCAAAGTCCTCCGGGAGGGTTGAGCTGAGACCATCAAAAACGGAAATGAGACGGATGATGTGGTGATTCGATCGATAACTGGTAATCCGGAGTAGGGATCTTGGGCAGATTATCATAGTGTTGGTCAGCTCTAGAATATTTTAAATGCAATAACGTTGAGAATTCTCCGATATATTAGTCAGAGCAAAGACCACTTATATGCCTAGAGGACTCAACAATACCAGCTCTATATGTCAACAAACAGCAATAACAAAAGAGAGTTACGGTGGAGGTCCCACCAGCTCCGTGCAAAGAAAGCTATGAAAAAAGAGAGATTAACAAAATAAATCCTGCCAAATTAAAACAAGTAATTTGACATCGGTTGCGGACAAAATGGTGCGCAAAGCACTTTAAAGCACACAGAGACTCCCAGAAAAATTCACACTTCAAAGGGGGAGTATGCTAAAGGAATTCAAGCAGCAATTTGATATAATACAGAAATCAATTGTAAATGGAATCAGGCATTTATATTGCAGACCACATAAAGGGACTAATTGATTCGTTGAACAAATTTGTGGAGCTGCAAAAACACCAAACTGAAACGACAAAACTCGAACCTTGAGTGTGGGATTTGACCCATGGAAAAGCTCCCACCTGAAATTGAAAACAATTGTCAAACTACAAAATGGAAACATGTTAAGCGGCTCTTAATTAGCCAATCACTACGTAGGTTTTTTGCATTGGAAAAAGTGCAAGGTCAGCCACCACTAAAATTATTATTCCTATTCAAACACATTTCTTTTGGTAATTTTGATTACTAAATTCTGGATCCCCCCATAGTCTGGTAAATTATACGTAGAAAAGATTAATTTTAATTTGATGCTGTAGTTGCGTTATTGTTGTATTACTGAAATTTACTTCGCATAAATCGCATATATCCGGAGAAAGAGCAATTTTATCGGAAAAGTGCATCGAAGCTCTGACCAAATTGGTAATATAAGGT